GACTTTTGTTGTAAAAGTAAGAATCTCTATGTTTTGGTTATTTTAAAATTAATTGTATTTTGATTGTAAAGTTCTTCCAACGGAATGGTCGCCCGTATCCCATATCTAGTGAAGACAATCTGAAAGTGGAGATAACTCAGGGCTCGTATGCCATTCCCTCGTCGACAGAGTTGGGCGGATGTGATCCCAGAAGTGCTAACACCGCGAGAGTCCAGTTCACTGCCAAGAGATCCGGTTCCTATTGCATAAGTATATTGATTGGTCCGAATCCGACTCACATCCGCGGCTCACCCTTTACTGACATATACTTTCTTCCGACACATCCCTCTCCTCAGGTCAGTACAACTTCCCGTAAGAGTTGATTCGTTTGTAACGAATTTATCTGAAATGACAGGAAACAGGATTTATAAATTATTGCTCGACAGTAGTGTGCACTGAAAAGACACCCCACGCTCTTTTCATTAAGTTAAGAGATAAATACGGAAACTTATGTCCCATTTCTCAAGATTTTGACGCCAGCGATGACTTTGCTGTTGATTTGGTGGAGATGTCGACCGGAAAGCCAATTCATTCGGCCTTCTATTGGGATATTCAGCCGAGTCTTAGCAGAATTGCACTCGTATTGAGATTAGACAACGAAGGCCTCTACAGTGCCATTGTCTCATACCGGGGATCAGCTCTCAAGAATGGAGAGTTCAGTATAATTGTGTTGAACAGCACTGAATCGGCATTAGTTCAGAAGCATTCCAGCAAAAAGAGTCAAACGTCCGGATTCTGTGCGAAACTAATGACTCAAAACAACGACAGACTAAACAAACCAAAACGAGTCTTCTGTTATATTTCTCCAAAACAACTGACGATTAAAGAATATATTTTGAAGATTATTCCCAAACGAATCGTCACTTTCCGGTTGTGTCCGTCCACTAAATTCCAGTTCTCGAAGTCAGACAATCAGTCGCCCAGTGATGACAACAACACCGATTTGTCCAATCAATTGCTTATTATCGATGACGGCTGTCAACCACCGGTCGAACTCATGAGCGATGAGCGCAATGTAATCGCCGCCACTTTCACGCAATTCCTGTTGAATAATATCGGCGGAAGTGAGACATTCAAAGACAAACAGGACTTCTTCTACTCGGAGGTCAGGAAATACCATCAAAAGAGTTTCCACGAAAAACATCAAATACGAATCGATCGCCAAAACCTGTTAGAGTCGTCCATCAAAGCTACGAAAAGCTTGACTACCAGTGACTGGTGTAAGAACTTTGAGCTTCAGTTTATCGGGGAGTTGGGCGTCGATTGGGGCGGACTTAGGAGGGAGTGGTTCGAGCTGTTAAGCGGCGCCCTCTTCGACCCCAACCAATCAGATTTGTTCCAACGGTTCAAAAACGATAGACAGGGGTTAGTGCAGCCGAACCCCAAATCTCAATTCAAACTGAAATACTATGAGTTCGCCGGAAAAATAGTGGGAAAGTGTTTGTATGAGTCGGCGCTCGGAAGCAGTTATCGACAGCTCGTGAGGGCCCGCTTCTCCCGTTCCTTTTTGGCCCAATTGATTGGTCTGAGAGTTCACTACAAGTACTTCGAGAGGGATGACCCCGACCTCTATGTCTCTAAAATTAAATATATTATCGATAACGACGTCGAAGACATGGAACTGTATTTCAGTGAAGATGAGTACGACATGAGTTCAGGAAAACTAATACGAACTATAGATCTGATACCAAATGGATCTAAAGTGAAGGTAACGAACGCTAATAAATTGCAATATTTGGATGCACTGGCGCTCTACAGACTGTCCACTTCTGTGAGAGAGCCCATCGAGCACTTCCTCAAAGGACTCAATGACTTAATTCCGGACAACTTGTTGTGTATATTCGATGAGAACGAGTTGGAACTGTTGATGTGTGGGTCCGGCAATTACTCCATCTCCGAGTTCAAGGCCAATCACGCCGTCAGTTGTGGTAATTACGAGTTCCGCAAAATACTCGACTGGTTTTGGACCGCAGTCTCCAATTTCACGGACGAAGAGATGGCGCGACTCTTGCAGTTCACGACCGGCTGCTCACAACTGCCTCCGGGAGGCTTCCAAGAACTCAACCCCAAGTTTCACATCACATCCGCGCCCACATTCGGTGTACTGCCGACGGCTCATACCTGCTTCAACCAAATCTGTTTACCTGAATACGATTCGTATGAACAGTTCGAGAGAGCGCTCAGAATAGCTATCACTGAGGGAGGGGAGGGATTCGGGATGATATAAACCTGGATGACAGACGGGATGATATCAACCTCAAGAGCGCCAAACATGCAATACATTCCACAATCTAGTCGTAAAAAAGGCTTAATTTTTGCCTTTCATTTCAAAACTACTGTGAATTAAACGCACTTTTTTACGAATAAGTACTTTAAGTGAAAAGAGATGGCGCGACTCTTGCAGTTCACGACCGGCTGCTCACAACTGCCTCCGGGAGGCTTCCAAGAACTCAACCCCAAGTTTCACATCACATCCGCGCCCACATTCGGTGTACTGCCGACGGCTCACACCTGCTTCAACCAAATCTGTTTACCTGAATACGACTCGTATGAACAGTTCGAGAGAGCGCTGAGAATAGCCATCACTGAGGGAGGGGAGGGATTCGGGATGATATAAACCTCAAGAGCGCCAAACATGCAATACATTCCACAATCTAGTCGTAAAAAAGGCTTAATTTTTGCCTTTCATTTCAAAACTACTGTGAATTAAACGCACTTTTTTACGAATAAGTACTTTAAGTGATTTCATTTCTCGTCATATTTTCATTCAAAAGTTAATTATAATATATTCTCAATTATATGTATATTTTTGAGTGCCTTTTGATTATAATTTATATTTTAGTAATAAATTGCAAATCATATTTCGATATTAAATATCGTATGAAATACCTTTTATTTGGTTCAAATCAACTCAATTCAAATTATGCTTAAAAGTCAACTAAAAATAAAGCGAAAATCAATTAAAAATTAAATATTATTTTAATTAAATAAAACTTGAAAAAAATCTGAAAATTGAAATCAAAAACACTGAACAAAGCATTGATTTTGCAAAAAACACGTCAAATGAAACTAAAATAGAAAATACTCGACCCTTTCGATGACTTTAATGAATGTTTTCTTTTGGGGAAAACACTTGTATTTGAGTGGCGATTGATTTTGCGATTAACTACAACGATATGGGACCCAAACGGTCGAAGATATTCTTCCGCAGAGATATTGTCTTATTTTTAATGAGCGCGTCATTGGTTCGCTTCATCGCAATCCTCTTGGCCTGCAATACAGCCGTCGATGCGGTGGTCATCCGATTGGCGGCATTTGAAACGGCCGTTCGGTTGACGATTAGACGGCTTGGAGCGGAAGGGGAGGACAGTCGACCTGACAGTCCTATTCTATTCTTAACGCTAATTGTTTCTGAAGTAAATGATTTAGAAATGCCTGTTAAATAGGTCTCCAGAATGGGTTTAAACGTATGATAAATACCGGTTTGAGAGCTCCTCAAAGAATTCGGAGGAAGGATAGGCTTTTTAGGGCTAATGGTAAGCCTTTTTGGGTTCAGTTTAACAATGCTTTTGTTGTTAAGTGTTGTGTTAATACTGTTCCCACTCATAGTCACCCGTCGGATGGGATTCACAGAATCTAAACCCGAAGTATTGCCTAAACGCGAGAAAATGGATGAATTCTTGTCGTTACTCTTCTCTGCCCCCAAACGCGCGAAAACCGATGATTTGGCTGAAGATGTCTTCAGAGATTCCATTCCAAGCATTGAAATCGTTTGCGAGCCGTTCCTATCGCTCATGTGTTCGTTGAGGTCGTCGTCATCTGCGGACACAACTCTCCTAATCTTCGGATTCGTAGTCCTAATCAATGCCGACGTCTGCGCCGATCGCTTCATGTTTGATGAGTTTTGTGTCGCCTCTTGAGGAGTGATTGTCTTAAACCTGTGGTTCAGCGGTTGTGTCACTTGTTTATTGGTGGCCACTGTTGGTCGAGTCGGTGCCGACGCCGCGGACGAGTTGCCAGTTCGCGGACCCAGCAGTTGGTCGCACGTGTTGTGGTGGTCCACACTCTTGGCGTGTCTTAAGATGGCGATCACATCACCCATGGTTTTGATGCCCATATCGTAGAGGATTTCTTTGGTTAAGTCGCTTAACATATCATTTTGGATGCGATGGGATGTGAAGATAATGGCATAATTGGTGGCAACACTCGATGGGAGTC